GCAATGCTGTCCAGCAATACCGAACTGACCTGGGTAATGCGTAAGAGTTTTCTTCTCGAAACAGTGGCTCATTTCTCAGCATAAATATCGCATAGTTTTCCAAAAGCACTCAAGACCAAGGAAGTTCCTCCTTTCTAACACTAACTGAATGGTATCGTCATGGCAGATTATAGAGACGAAGTGCTTAAAATGATCTACCTCATGAAGCGCTCCACTTATTGATCAGCTGTACCGATGGGTTCCTCATAACGATTGGCTTCCAGAGTGTTAAGGTAGACGTTGGCTTTCGCAGCCGTGTTGCAGGAAGCCGTCAGGTGACTAAGCGTGATGCCCGGTAATAGGTATTTATCGAAGCCTTTATGTTCAGATCTTCATTTTATTTTACTAACCTAACCGTACATTCACGCATCCCATAGAAATAGCCCTGAAGTTGAAAATCGGCTAATCGCGTGTCGTTATATCGTCACGTGCCCAGACCTTTCAGCGTTTACCGCGAAAGTGAGCGCTAGTGCTTGGAATTTCAAGCCTTAATTTTCTTTGCTTTCAGTTGAGAGGTATTTGCAATTAGCTGCAGCATCCGGTCCCAGGGTCACGCACAGCGCTGGATATAACTACTGCAGTGGGCTTTATGAATGGTATAGCAATTTTTAAGTCGTTTTGTTGTAACAACTATTCGTTAAAGGTACACTGGTAACCCAAACGCAGCTCTACAGTTGTTCAACCGGGCCAAGAAAGACCCTGAATGGGGCGAGAGAGCAATATGTCACATGATCGACATCTGCCTGAACCCGGATAACGAAATCATTGGCGGAGAATTGGCCGAACCGATTGCTGTTAACGACTTTGGGATTAAGTACGAGTATTAATTTTACATCAGCTTAAAGGACGTATCTTTTAATAGAGGCGAAAATGTATCCAATGCAGCTGGCGTGTCGTCTGCAGAAAGATTTCTGAAGGTGGGAATTAAGTGAGATATGCGAAACAAAACACTAAAACAGACAGATAACTGTTTAATGTTTATCCGGCGTTAAATGGCAGGTTTCGGGTTAATTTGTTAAAGGATTCAAAGAGGTATGCGAGAAGATGTTTCATGATGGAAACTTATTCGGGCGCACGAACAACTTATGATGTCAGTGAGGTAGCATAAGAAGAGTATTAGCAGTAGCCCCTAGAATTATTGTTGTGTTGAGCGCGAGGTGACTCTAGCGAACGAAATGATGCCAGATGCGTCTTGCGTTACATGTGCTCAAATATTATTGAGCTGTGGCTTGCTTAAATCCCCCTCCTCTGGGCAATAGGAGAAAGGAAGAGGGGGGGGTGCAATATGATGTAAAATTTCGTATTGGAGGAGTCATTCGTTGCATGATGAAAACATGCAAGAAAAAGACAATCAGTACAACTGTGCACAAAGAAGATACAACCGCGACTAGCTAAGAGGTTTCAAAGTTACTTCAACATGCCTTCTTGTAATAAATTTCTTCTGGGTTACAAAAACTTAACGAGGAATAGTTCAACAAATCTTTGGAACGCTTTACCATAGCGAGGGTCTTCTGGCCAATACCTTTACAGGGCGGGTACATTGGCACGCGCTGCAAAAGTTGGTCTTGATCAGGCAAACTTCCACTTACATTTAAATTAGAAAATTACGAGATTATCTGACACTTAGTTACACAAAATACTGTCAAGAGTTAGTTATAATCCGTAGCGCAAGAAGGTCGGAGGCGTATGCATCTACGCACTTACAGTCTCAGGTCCTGCACGAAAGCAGGGAAACCCGCTTTCCTGCCTTAGGCAATCTCCAGTTTCGAGGTTCCATATAATTAGCAGACAATGACGTTCTTTATTTTTCATAATCTTCAAACCTTTATACTTGTTCATTCTTATGACAATGCTAATTTGCAAATCATTTTCAGACGGACTGAACTTATATGAAGTTAAAACTACTAATCATGGAATAATCTTATCATGAACATGTTGCGAATGATTAACACTCTGAGAAGAATGATAGCAGGTAAACTGCGGTTTCTTTTGCCAGTGAGTGGACCAGCCTTCCTGCTTGACAGTTCTGGAAGATCATTTTCTTTTGAGAAATGTTGAACTCAAAATACCGGATTCAGTGATAAGTGGCATACATGCATCCTGGGTTATTCGTGCCTTAGAAGACGAAGATCTGTAGTAGGTGGACTTCGGTGTCTCATGTCACAAACAGTCTATTGTGACAATAAAGATAACCCCTTTAAGTTAGAGACTGCTCAACAAGTGGCCTATTTGTACTTTTAGAATGGTATACATCTTTTCAGAGACAACTCATCGTTTAGAACATTATCACGTGGTAGATGACTAATAACATAATTTAGGAACTGCGATTCAGGCCTGGAATTGATTATAAGTACAGTATAATGGAAAATTTCATTCTGCTGGCGACTAAAGAAAAAAACAACATAGAAAAAGCGCTAAATAACTTTACGAAATTAGCAAACCAGGGAACTACAAACGTGAGCTTGCTTTTAACCTACAGAAACATATAATGGTACATCAAACGTTGTATTCAGGAAGTATCTAACGTTGGCGCGA